CCGCAGGAAAAGCTGTCGGTAATCGGTGATTTTGCTATAGTGAAATTCGATCCAATCAGAGCTCAAATGGGTCCAAATCACCTTAAGCGCATTTGGAATGTTCAAATTTTAAATTGGTCAATCAAATGATTTCCAAATGTGACATGTTTAATAGTTGAATCGAGTGGCTCGACGAGACAATTCTAACGAGCCCCAGATTGTTAAATTCTGACTTTATTAATACACTATAATACTTGATAAACGATCCAGACCCAAGGTTGGAAACACTCTAATATGCCCTGAATCTTCTCTGAATTTAGTGGCCATGTCACTCCCAAAATACTATAAATAACCTTTTTTCTTAATTGAGATGGAGATTAAGGAAAAGGAGGAAGGAAAAAAGAGTGGAGAGGAAGAGAAATTTGAGATATCTCTTGCCACCAAGCTCCTCCTCGACAACTATTCGGCCACCGACTATCGCCGAATTTTTGACGGGCTTTCGCCTGGCCACCGTTTGTCGCCAAACTTTCGCCCGACCACCAGCTGACATTGAATTTATGTCCGAACACAAATTGACGCTAGATTTATACTTGACTATCGACTGTCACCAGACTTTTGCTAAACTTTCGCCCATCCACCAATTGACTCCAGATTAATGCCTTGCCCCCGACTATCGCTAGGCTTTTGCGAACTTTTGCCCGGTCACCAAATGTCGTCCGACTTACCCCCGTTCATCGATTATCGCTAGATTTTCTCCTAACCACCATCGCCGACTATGGTTTTTCCAACCTTCGTCGCCTGACTACAGTCATTACGACCATCTTTGCCTGTCGACTATGATCTCTCCGAACTCCATCATCCACCGACTATGGTCTCTTCAACTACCATATCTAGACTATGGTATCCCCAACTTCCATCACTCGACAATAGCCTTTCTGACCTCCGTTGCTCGCCAACTATTGTCTTTTCGACCTCCATTGTCCGACTATGGTCCTTCCCACCACCGTCACATTACTATGATTCTTCTGATATGCATCACTCGTCGACTATGGTCCTATCAACAAAGCAAACATATCAACAATAATTCTTCCAACTCCCACCATGTAATGCACTCTAATTATGATGTGCATTTTCTACATCGAGCAAATGTCTTCCCTTAAGGAAGGGCATCATTTGTAATAAACTGCAAATATTAGTGAATTCATTCAAATTGGAATAGGCCCTGTGGTTTTCCCCTTTTCAGGATTTTTCACATAAAAATCTTTGTTATCTCTTATGAACAAAACATACCCTCTTTTATCTATTTCCGTGCTGGGTATTTGTACAAAGTTAAAACGCTAAACTTTATATTTCTCTATCGTCATGAATATTCTAGGACACAACAATAGTTAAAAGATATAATGTTTGTGTTCTTTTTATTCATCTACATAGATGATTGTTTGAGGATTTTTGTACTAAAAAGTTGCTTTAAGAAGCAATAAGAAAGTCTTCCCATTGGGATGACTTTTTTAATGCTTTCTAAAACATATTTTTAGTATAAAAATTAAAAAAAAAAACTAAAAAATTGCTTAAAAAGTAATAAAAAGCCATCCGAAATCAAGATTAAAATGCTACCCACAGATGCTTAGCTTGGTTGGTGGGCGAGTTCGCTTGGGAACCCCCCCAATCTATTATCGGTTCCCCTCGAGTGGCAGCGCTTTTTAAGTGGGGCCTAATCAAGTGCTGGCTAGGAGGTTTATGGGATGGGTGCCTCTTCTAGGTCAGCTGAGGATTAGTCAGGTTGGCTACCATTCTTTCAAGAATAGCAGCGAGGGGATACCCAGTTCCCAAAATAAATAAATAAAATGCTAAATTCTTTCTCTCTTTTGTTATGCCACTTTCTGCATTCATAGCAAAAATAATATTCCAATTAAGAGTTTGCCCTAATACAAAATTATTTTGTCTTATATTTATGATATGAATTTATATCACGTGCTGCTCACCCAAAACCTCCCACGTTATTTCATATTGAATCGCTTTCTTGAGAAGAAATGGACTTCTACTTCCCAATTCGACGCATCTATTATCATATTAATATAGTATTGTTTTTTAGTACTATAAGTTATCACAAGAAATATTTATTCTACATCGCTCACCAACTAATGATCATGTCAATCAATCGAATCTATCAAAATTGATTCTTCGAACTCCCATCATGTTGCATATTTGCTACATCGAGCCAATGCTTTCTCCCTAAAGAAGGGCCTTATTTGTAATTAACCATAAAAATTAATTAGTGAATTCATTCAAATTGGGTCAGGCTGTGTGATTTTTCTTCTTTCTAGAATTTTTCACGTAAAAATATTGGTCTCTTATGAACATATTTTTAGTACCAAAAAGGCAAAAAGCCTTCCTTTGGGATGAATAGGAAGCCTTTTTTTAATGTTTTCTAAAACATATTTTTAGTACAAAAAATTTTTAAGCAAAAAAAAAAAAATTAAAAAGTTGCTTAAAAAATGATAAAAAAGCCATCCTTAATCAAAATTAAAATGCTAAATTCTTTCTCTTTTGTTATGCCACTTTCAGCATACATACATAGCAAAAATAATATTCCGATTAAAAGTTTGTCCAAATACAAAATTAGTTTGTTTTCTAAAAAATATTTTTTGTAAAGAAAAAAAAATTAAACAAAAATTTTTTGTATTAAAAAGTTGCTTAAAAAATGATAAAAAGCCATCCTAAATCAAAATTAAAATGCTAAATTCTTTCTCTTTTGTTATGCCACTTTCAGCATACATACATAGCAAAAATAATATTCCGATTAAAAGTTTGTCCTAATACAAAATTAGTTTGTCTTATATTTATGATATGAATTTATAGCACGTGCTGCTGATCACCCAAAACCTCCCCCTTATTGCATATTGAATCCCTTTCTTGATAATAAATGAAATTCTACCTGCCAATTCAACGCATCTAAGACATATTAAATAGTAGTATGAGAAATATATATTCCTGTAAGTCAGAAAAGTATTGCTCAATTCAATTCATGCATGTTTAAGTTATTAGGGGACACGTGGGATCACTTTATTATTATTATTATTGTTTTTTCTATATATATTTTAATTTTAATTGAAATAAAATTTTGCCTTAAATATATTTTTTATTTTCAATCTTGTGAGGGATCGATGGCGGCTCATAAGGTGATGATGACAGTAGTGATAGAAATATTTTCAATTTTTTGTACAATTTTAGGGAACTTGTGTGTGTAAGGAGAATCTAAAGCATATGATAAAGTTTCAAGAGAAGTTTTCCATAGAGCTTTTGAAATAAAATGAATTAATGATGCTTATATTAATTAAGCTCTAAAATTTGGTTATAAAAATTAACACTCAGCTAGTAACTTTTTTTTTTTTTT